AAAAAATGATCTCCACTTTACGAGAAATTGTGGACCATCGTTGAGCAAAGCTCTGAGGTCAAGCGCCAAGCCAAAAGCTATTTTCTTCCTGGGGAGAAGGGAAACGCGCAAAATTATGGGTCTATAAATTTAAAACCCAGCCGTAATGTGACACGTGGTGCAACTAAAAACGCAGTCCCTTGAATCAGAAATACGGCGATGTAACGGGTCGCTGTACCACGCGGGGTGGGTTGGGGGGGGAGGTGGAAATCCCTGGAACTGGATCCAGCTGGGCCTGCACTGGGGACGGAGAACTTCTCTTGCAGGAGCGCGGCCTGCCACTTTGTCCGTCTCTTTTCCATTGCACAACAGAGCCGTGCCGGGGCCCTCGTGGCCTGGTTGTTATTGTTTTTTTACACTGCAGAAGCCGAGCCTGGCCGTCCCACGACATCACACGAATCGTATATAATAGTCGACGTTTCGGGCAACGGCCCTTGACAGCACATAGAGGGGCCAGAGAGATAGTGTGATGTGCAATGCATGAGACGCGTATAAATGATGTGGCGTACTGACTAATGTTACACGCAATTCATTCCTTATTAGGTTCAATTTCCCGGCGTGGCATTTGCAATAATGAGCTGATTTATTAAATCAAACCGTGCCACCACTGTCCACTCTGCAGGATAAATGGCTTAACCGCAGTCGATGGGCAGGTGGCTTGTGGTGGGGTAAAGTGTGGGCACTTTCCACCTCTTCCAAACCCTGTGGCCACTATACACACTATTTATACATTACTACTAGCAGAAGTACCCGGCGTTGCCCGGGTGAAAAATATATTTCTTAATAACCTTACATATATACACAGATGGGCTGCTACCCCTGCCCCCCCCCCCCCCCCCCCAGCCACGATCTCCTCGGCCACTGTGCAGTAATATGTACGGCCTATAGTGTGGTCGAGGCCTAGTACCGTGCAGAGCCTCCGGCCTCGCCTAAATTGCCCACCCGGCTGAGGCTGGGTACTGGGGCCGTTACCCCCCCCCCCCCCCCGCGCTACAATAATACTTTTTACCTGAATTTACCTCAGAGTCGCGTGTTAATGCGTGCGCATATTTTTAACGGGAATTAAAAATGGCGTCCACCCCACAGCGAATGCGTCGCTACCCGTTGCCAGGGGCAACCGCCGTGGAAAACCAAACGGACCAATCGTGTCTCGCAAATCCCTCACATTTCGTCCAATGAAACTGCGTATGGTCCGGCGACACACAGACAGACAGACACACACACAGACAGACAGATTTGCGATTTTATATATATAGATACACTACTATAAACAGACTCTAGCTCTTCGCGGGGAATTCTCAGGCGTTCCCAGGCCAGCTGAGCGACGGCTTTATTTTTATTATTTCCGGAAAGTAGCTCGTCGCCAATACACCGATACACATCTGGTGGTCACGCGGACGCACTCACGCACATCCACTGGATTGCCAGACGAACTCCAGACTGTTGATTTGAAGTACGGGGGGGGGGGGGGTAATAAGTGCGTCTTGTGGCCGAGGGAATACGGTAATACAACGTTTGGGAAGATATGTTATCATTCAGAGACGTGTAAGCGGTTCATCCCCGTGGAATTGTCAACAACACATTTATCAGTCTAAGGTTTTCAGTGCATTTGATTTTTTTCTACACATGTGTTTTTTGTTTAATCGGGGCGAGCATCAATCTTTAAACTCCCCCCGCTGGCTGTTTGGACAGCAGCCAGCGTGTTGTGAGCCGGCACCCAAACAAATCCCAGGTTCAAATCCGGGTTCCACGCCCAACGTGAATACGTGGGGATTTCAGATGCGGTAAGCTGATGGTCTGAGTCGAATCACCAAATGACCACACGTTCAATAATTACAAGACGGCTTCAGCATTCTAGATTTGAAGCTTTCGTGACTGCAAGGATTCATATTCTTAGGTTTTTTCGGTAAAGTCACGTAGGTAAAAAATTAAATTAATTAAAGTAAAATAAAAATCAAATAAAAATCACGACGTTTCGGAGGTAACACACGATAGCTATCGCGCTGTGACGGTTCCACCTGAAGACTGAAGCTTGTGTTGCCTCCGAAACATCGTGATTTTTATTTTATTTTTGTTTTACTTTTATTAATTTACATTTTTTACCTACGTGACTTTACCGAAAAAACCTAAGAACACGGCTTCAGCAGTTGAGCGGTTCACAGTGAGAAGGTTGCGAGTTCAAATCCAAGTTGTGGGGGTTGAACTCAGCGTTATCATGCCCCCCCCGGGCTGCCCCATGTGTAGACGTGTAGACTCGCCCCCCGCGCCCGACAAAAGGAATGTGGAATTTCCACAGCGGACATCACTCCTGGAACTTTGCTTGACGAGTCGCGCACTGACATTTTTAAAGTCGTGCTGTTCGTTTCAACCTCGACCGGGCTTTACAAATCAGCGGCACTGCGTATCACGTTGACGAACCGGGACTCCAATAACCGCGGTGAATAACGACCGACGGGGCGTTTGGCATCACCGGGTTGTGGGTGGCGAGGGGTGAAACGGTCACAAACGCAAAGAGATGCCCCCCCTCCCCACCTCTCCCCAACTCTTTTTTTAATAACAGCCTCAGCCCCCCATCACACGGACAAAAACAAACTCTGCGCTGCGAGGGCACACACAAAAGACAAAGATCCCCCACATAGCCTTAACAGACTGGAGGGGCAAGTGCTGTTAGCGACGCGCACGCGCGCGCATGCGGCGGCAGCGACGGGACCTGCGTTCAACAATCACCACAAACTCGCTGATTGTGGGGGAGTTCGTATTGATTTCTCCACGGTGAATTGTGGTGGGGTGCGGTGGTGGGCAGGTAGTTAGGGGGCACGGAATCGGATTGGTGCCCCCTGGCAGTCCCATTCATCCTGCAGCCAGCCGAGGCCCAACTGCTGTTCTCCTAGGCGCAGGGGTGTATAACCAGGTATCTGCTGTCATCGAAAGAATGACGCTACCTTGAAGTAAACTTGTCAATGTCACAACGGATGGATCGCCAAATTTAACTGGAAAAAATGTTGGGCTGCTGAAAAGAATCCAGGATAAAGTGAAAGAGGAAAACCCTGTCCAGGATCTTATTTTCCTTCGCTGCATCATCCATCTGCCAAGGTCCATTTGGATATTTATAACATCATTCGCGGGCCATACAAAATTATCAACTTAAAAATTTGCCTGTTATTTTTGGTCAAACATTTAATTAACTCACCCCTAATGCGATGGGCTGGAACTGCTTCTCTTTGGCGAGGCGTGTGATGTTAGCTGGTATTGATGATGTCGCTACTCGCAACTGCTTTTCCAAGTTTGCTCCGAGATTTATTGAATTTCGAGTCCCGCCTGCGGTTGCCTTGGCAGGGCCAGAACCAAATGATTTTGCGGGCCTCATACGGCCCGCGGGCCGGACGTTCCTCACCCGTCCTAGGGAATGAAGCTCATTGGGGAGCCGTGTGTGTGTGTCCGTGTGTGGGGAGCGGTGGTGCAGCGGTTAGCGCTACGAGGCGGCACAAACCTGGCGAGCCGCGTTCGAAGACCCGCTCACGGCCAACGCCGGTGACGATTATCTGAAACGGTTCTGGGCCTCCCCTAGGTCGACTCGGCCTCAAATGAGTACCTGGTGCGATCTGTAAGCATCGCTACTGGGGAGACAAAGGCGGTCGGGCGTGGTGTTGGCCACCCACCCCCTTCGTGTGCCGTGCCGGCCTTCATAGGTGCTCGCTAACAGCACTTGCCCCTGCAGTCTGCAAAGCTTTCCTTGCATCGGCGCTCTTCATTGCAAGGCCCGCGGGCCCCTGGCGGCCCCTGGTGGCCCTTTAGTGCGGCCGCCCGACAATGCACAACGACACGTGACAAACACCCCCATCATCATCATCACCGTGCTGCTGTCAACCCCCACGATGGTTTCAAATGATGTGGCGGCCCTCGCACGCTTATGTCTTATCGGCGAAATTGCCCCCTCCCCCCCCCCCCCCCGTTGTAAATGAGTGAAGAACACTGCCTTCGAACGTACATGTCATGTATTGCCATGGAATGAACCTCCGAGCTTGGGCCGACGTTAGGCCTGTTCGCAGGGATGAATGTGGGCTCGAAGTGGGGCGTACAAGTCCCACGGCGCGAGCGATTGTACCGCGCGGAATTCATTCCCTTCCCCTGCCGCCGCCGCACGGCCTCATCATCATCATCACCATCATCATCACCATCATCATCATCACCATCATCATCACCATCATCACCGCCATCATCACGACCCACGGGTAGTTAGCCCCTGGGTGTTCACTGCACATTTCGTCATTTGTTTCCGCTTTCCTCCTGTGCCTTCGCGTGGACTAAGCACCGCGAATGCCTCCCCCAAACCATTACCGAGACAAGGAGCGGGGGGGGGGGGGGGCCTTGCCTCATGGCCCCCTCGGCCTTGGGTGAGCAACTCCCTCACATGAACCCTTATAAATCGGACTTATTGTCACACGACATTAGAAGAAGAAAAAGTTTGGCTGGCTGGAGGGAGCGTCACATCCAAAGGGCGTTCTTTACCGGCGGTTTACCGTATAAACACTCGTTATTTGGCCGATAACAACTCGATATATCGAGGACCGCAGAGCTTGGTGGTGGGTGCTGCTGCCTTCCCGCCTCCTTCTCGCACCTGCAACTCATCATCCTCTTTCTCTCTACGAGAGCGATCGAACGACACTGCGTGGCGACGGTGGGGCAGTGCTACGAGCTGAAACTGTAATTGTATTATTGTTGTGGCCAGGGTTAGCTCCGGCGGGCCTGCCTCTGCTGATGAGCCGCTGCGGGTGCCGAAAGCGATCCGGCGTTCCGCTTGCACTGAATCAATGCCCTGCTCTCTCCAAGAGGGCTGTGCACGGTGGGGCTGGCGGGCTGCGAATTGGGCATCACGCCGCACCCTGAAACCACCTCGGCCTCATTCAGCCCAGCGAGACACACGCGGGGAGACGCCGTTTGTCTGACGTTTTGCTCACATCTGCTGGAGAGTGCAGGGAACTGCACGGAATGGTTATTTATTTGTAATAATTGACGCATGGGTTTTGAACATCCCAGCACGGGAGCCGTGAGCAATGCCCCAGCCACCTTCAAAACATCGAGGTCTCAACCAGGAACACAAGAACGCTAACTTTCGGGCTTTCCAACTTTTATCTAATAAACAAATCGATGCTTTCATTCACTTTAAAGTTCAAAACGGCGCGCGCTGCGATGTCCAGGAGCACAAACTCGCCAGTGCGCTGTTGTGGTGCATTCCGGGCAATTGGGTGGTTCAGCTTGGATCAAATTCAACACGAGTTGCACGTGACGTGAAAATCTAACGTCGAGGCGTTGACGATGTTGACGATGATGTTGACAATGTTGATGATGATGTTGACGGGCTATGCGCGGCGGTTTTATAACATCAAAGTGTTGACGATGATGTTGACGACGATGATGTTGACGACGATGTTGACGATGATGTTGACGATGATGTTGACTATGATGTTGACGGGCTACGCTCGCCGGTTTCTCTGCAGGGGTCTGCCCTGGTCAGCGCCAGCTGCAGGGTGACCGCGTCTCGGGCGTGCCGTCGCCCCCCCTGCGCTGACCTTTGGTGTACACGTGGTCCTGCAGGCGGAGACACCGACCACACATGGTGTGAAGCAGCAGTGCCATCATCACCATCCATCATCAACTATCATCATCAATCATCATCAATCATCATGATCATCATCTTTGGTGTACACGTGGTCCTGCAGGTGGAGACACCGACCAGACACGCGGTGAGGCAGCAGCACCATCATCATCACCATCCATCATAAATTATCATCATCAATTATGATCACCAATCATCATCTTTGGTGTACACGTGGTCCTGCAGGCGGAGACACCGACCATACACGGGGTGAAGCAGCAGCAGTACCATTATCATCACCATCCATCATCAACCATCATCATCAATCGTCATCAATTATCATCATCATCATCATCTTTAGTGTACAAGTGGTCCTGCAGGCGGAGACACCGACCATACACGGGGTGAAGCAGCAGCAGTACCATTATCATCACCATCCATCATCAACCATCATCATCAATCGTCATCAATTATCATCATCATCATCATCTTTAGTGTACACGTGAACCTGCAGGTGGAGACACCGATCACACACGGGGTGAAGCAGCAGCAGTACCATCATCATCACCATCCATCATCAACCATCATCATCAATCGTCATCAATTATCATCATCATCATCATCATCTTTAGTGTACACGTGAACCTGCAGGTGGAGACACCGATCACACACGGGGTGAAGCAGCAGCAGTACCATCATCATCACCATCCATCATCAACCATCATCATCAATCGTCATCAATTATCATCATCATCATCATCTTTAGTGTACACGTGGACCTGCAGGTGGAGACACCGATCACACACGGGGTGAAGCAGCAGCAGTACCATTATCATCACCATCTATCATCAACCATCATGATCAATCATCATGATCATCATGATCATCAATTATCATCATCTTTGGTGTACACGTGGTCCTGCATGCGGAGACACCGAGCACACACGGGGTCAAGCAGCAGCACCATCATCATCACCATCCATCATCATCAATCATCATCAATCATCATGCTCATCAACTATCATCATCTTTGGTGTACACGTGGTCCTGCAGGTGGAGACACCGACCACACACGGGATGAAGCAGCAGCAGCAACATCATCATCACCATCCATCATCAACCATCATCATCAATCGTCATCATAAAATACATCATTATCAATCGTCATCAATTATCATCATCATCATCATCAAATCGTCATCATTCATTTTCAACATTAGTCGTCATCATCATCAATCATTATCAACATCAATCGTCATCAATCATCAATCATCATCATCATCAATCATCAGTCATCATCGTCATCAATCATCAGAAACCCAGAGCCCCCCCGCGTTGCCGTGACCGAAGTGGTCCACGTCACGCCACGTCGTCGCAGGAGGCCTACGGCGAGGTTAGGCCCGGCACCACGACAGGCCCTGCTAACCCGCTCCCCCCCCCCCCCCCCGCTTGCCGACCCGCCCCCTACCGGACGCGTGTGAAAAAGAGCTTCACGGCTCATCGGATTTGTCCAGGATAAACCCAGCGATAATGGTGACATGAAGGAGGTGGAACTGCATCTATTCTATGCATTTATTTTGATTTATTTCCTTTTCTTTACTTTGCTCGGCTCTCCTATCGTTTTAGTGTATTGTTTCTTGTCCTAACTTTCTGAATAGACACGTGCGAAAAAGACCTCTCAACGGATTCCTACAGGATCCATCAAGGTTCCGATTCTGAAATCTGACGAAGCCACGAGCTCCCTCGGGGAGGGCCTTCTGCTCTTCCACACCAGAGACAGCCTTCTGGTGTAGGCCAATCAGTTTCAAAGACGATGCAAATATTACCAGAGCATGTTTGTTTGCATGTCCACCACAAGCATGTGGTGTTAATGCAGTACTTGATTCCTTGCAAACGGTATCTATTTGGTGTTTAAACGCCTGTTTTACTGCCAGAAAGGAACGACAGGTAGTCCTCTACTTACGACGGAGATGCGTTACGACGACCCCATCGTAAGTCAAAAATATCGTAAGTCGAAAATGGCCTAGCCTACCCACGAGTCTTAATGATTGGTGATAATTTAGCAAAACAGAGCAAGTTACAGTACCGTACTGTATAAACTATATACTGTATGTATGTATTAATTACAATACTGTATTGCACAGTAACATGTAAAGTAAAAAAAACAAGGTAAATTCTTAGCCTAACTATATGAACTGCTATTTAATAGAAAGTTTTTTCAGGAAACAATCCTATCTGCTATAAAAAAACTTTTAACATGCTTTGATCGTATTGTATCGTGGTAACCCTAAAATAAAATCGCTAAAGCTACGTATCACACATGCATTGAACGTATCGTAACATATCATATTGTACTGTACTCACCAAGATTCTGTCCGTCGTCTGCATACTTGAACGATGTTAGGTTACAATTTTGTGGTATCGCTATCGCCATCGTAAAATCGAAATATCGTAAGTCGAACCATCGTAACTCGGGGACTATCTGCCCCCGTGGCACGCGGAGAGACTCACGATGAGGAAGCAGCTGGCGAGAAGTGTTGCCTTCAGCTTGGGAGCCAGGTCCATAGGGAACTGGATGAAGGTCTTCCCTCCCTTGCTGCTGCTACCGCCGCCGGCGCTCTCCGCGGCTGCCCCCTTCATCCACTGCTTGACCACGGCGCCGACCTGAGTCCTCTCGTCCTTGCTCAAGATCTGGGGACGAAACAAACAACGTTCGGAGCGCTGCGACGGAGCGCGAGCGATTGTGCCTTGCGCGGGCACGCTGTCGGCGGGGCCGGGGTTTGTACGTACGCTGGGAATTCTTTCACACCGTACGTAGTGAACCGTGCTGATCGGAGGTGCGGGGGAAAGACAACAAACGATGGGTCTCTGTGTGAGTCTTTGTGTGTACATGTGGAGGGACCCCGGGGTCCCATAAGCCTCCGGCTCTCGCATAAACTGCGTTGCGACGTAAAAATGTCTGTTGAAGGCGAACGACACGGCAATCTATTCCTCTCGACGAGCTCTACGCGATGCGATAATTAAAGTTTAAAAGTTTTGTTTCTTCTGCGCATTCGCCCTCGCTGCGCTTGGACGACACGACAACAGAATGACCCGCGGCGGGGTGGGTCGCGGCGTTCATGTGCGCCGTGGGACGGAGTCGCCAAAAATAAATTAATTTATTACGATGTTGACTTCCGTTTATTCGGGACCCCAGGCTCCCGCCATAAGGTTCATATGTTGAACTTCTTTCGCACCGTACATAGCTGACCGCGCTAATCGGAGGTGCGGGTTGGATAGAGAGGGGGGGGGGAGTAGCTGAGAGTTGGGGGGAGTTGGGCACGGGAGAGGCAAGTGAGACAATCAGCCAGGACCTAAAACTCCTGCAGTGTAAGGGGTCTCATTTACCTTTTTGTATTAAACAGATTACAAGAGATTACAGGTAAAGGCGCAGCCCTGCAATTGTTCGCTCACAACACTGCAGGTGGAAGGGGCCTCCACTAGAGGAAGCTCTCGAAAGGCGCTCTAGAGAAGGGTATTTTGCCTACTCTTCCACAGCGGCCAGACGTCTTGGTAGAGCTGAGAGTACGTACACTTTACTATGTGACTGTCATGTTCATTGAAAACTTACCAGGTAAGGCCGACTGAGCTATATAGCTCTTTTTCAGAAGCGTCCTGGCCACAAATGATAGCTCAACAAAGTGGAAATTTATAGTAGCCAAATACTCTAAACGCATGCTTCTAAATGTGGAGGGAAAAACCGGAGGACCCGGAAAAAAATCCACACGACCACAAGGAAAACACGGAACTTCCAAATATACAGCAGCAGGCGTCAGGGTCGGGATCGAACCCACGACCTCCTGTATACCAGGCGAAGTAGTTAACATCTCGCCACCGCATCGCCCAGTGGGGTAACATGGTGGGCTTACCATGTCACACCACACACAAAAGTGTGTTAGTGGGCGGTGCTAGTGGCTGAGCGCGGAGTGGAGGAGTGTATTCCAGCTTACCTCCCGCAAAATCACTAGTTTTGAATTCCCCTTCGCCCCAAAGCACGCCTGCCTCCCGCAACTGCACCTAGTGCCTCGCCTGTGACACACCTGGCAGGCTTGCCTCGTGCTTCACCCTCACCTGGAGGGTGCCTCACCTGGTAGCTCACGGCGTTGTTGACGGTGCAGTAGACGGCGCAGCTGGGCCCGCGGAGCCACAGCTGAGCCTTGTTGCTCACGTCGGTGACGGCGAACGTCGGTTCCGTCTCGGTCACCTTCTGCCGCAGGTAGCCGATGATGGAGCCCGGAGGGGACTGGACCTCCATCTGTCACGGCGGCGGCGGCGTTAGAAACATCGCAGAGCCTTCGCCACACCGCATGGCCGTCCCCCTCTCTCTCTCCAATTCACTCCAAAATGCAAAGGTCCCTTCGCTGTATAGCCTAAAGAGGCTGTTGAAGCGAGTGCTGTTGCTGTTAGCGGCACGGCGCACGAGGTGGCCGTGTGGGCAACACCACTCCTGGCCGCACTTGTCTCACTCGTGGCGATGTTTACCACACAGCGCACCAGGTACTCATTTGAGGCTGAGTCGAACTAGGGGAGGCCCAGCACCGGTTCAGAGGTTCGTCGCTGGTGTCGGTGGCCGTGAGCGGGAATGGAACTCGGTTCGTAGCCAGGTTCACAGCGCAGCGTTGCGCTAACTGCTGCACTACCGCTAACCACAATACCAACACCCGCCATTCGCCACTAAGTCACGGTAACGTCACAACGGCGCCTGTGCCAGGCCATGCGCACTTTGAGGCCACGTGAAGTGTCGAAGGCTCGCTGACAGGTCATGGAACAGACCCACACACACATACCGTCTAAACAGACTGCCAGTACACGCACGCACGCTCACTCACGTCATCCACGTTGCAGCTGCAGCGGTGGCAGCCACAGCGAAACCTGCGCACGACCCGCATGACCTCGCGCGACCCGCCATCCGTCATGGTCGCCTCCCAGGAGCAGGCCGCGCCCTGAGCCCTGCTCGGCGTCAGCGCCAGCGCCGGGTAGGGCCTCTTGGTCACGAAGAACACGCGCTGGCCCATGCTGTTCTTCACCTTGAAGCTCACCGTGCCCAGCTCGCTCGCCGTCTCTGCCCCGTGGGTGGCAGGATTTAGGGGTGAGCGGTTTAGAATCCGGAAGGTCGCCCCAGGCTAGGAGATGTTCACTACCTCGCCTGGTATTCAGGAGGTCGTGGGTTCGATCCCGACCCTGATGCCTGCTGCTGTATATTTCGAGTCTGCATGTCTTTCTCTCTACTCGTGGTCGCGTGGATTTTTCTTTGGGTCCTCCGGATTTTCCCTCCACATTTAGAATCGACATCACGCGTTCAGAGTACTTGGATGCTATGAACGTCCACACGATGATAAGCCACTTTCATTGACCTATCATTTGCGGTGGCCAGGTCGCTTGTGAAAAAGAGCCTTAGTGAGCCTTAACTGGTAAAATAAAATAAAAACTGTTTAGTTTCAATGCTGCGGTGTGTACGGTTGTCAGCCGCGAAATAATGCGTGCCGTCTGCACCCACGGTCGACGTTCAAGATGCGGCGACGTCATTCGCGGGAGGGTAACAATCACCACGACAATTTTACTATCTCGTTAAAATGGCACGCATCATCGGAAGATCGCAACGCGGCGCCGTGTATGGAAAGCCAGGAAATAAACTAGGAGATATAAAAGGCTAAATTGATGTTCAGTGAGTTTTGCTCGGGAAATAAAACTTCTCATTCCGATTTTTTAATATATCTAAATGTTGATTTAAAGCTTTCGTGACTGCAGGGATTCATGTTCTTGGTTATTTCGGTAAAGTCACGTAGAAGGGAAATAATAAAATAATAAAAGTATAAAACAATAAAAAAAATTCTCACGACGTATCGACTGCAACACAAGCAATCATCATCAGGTGTGAAATCCACAGCAAGAAAAATTGAAAAAAGGCTTTTTCTTGCTGTGGATTTCACACCTGATGATGATTTCTTGTGTTGCAGTCGAAACGTCGTGAGAATTTATTATTGTTTTATATTTTTATTATTTTATTATTTCCCTTCTACGTGACTTTACCGAAAGAACCAAGAATATATATCTAAATGGTTTGTCAAGCGTCGTTGTCCAAAGTTAAAATGAACAATATTCGAAGTTTACTGGATTTGGAAACACGTAGCAACAGTCGGCCACTCCTGCGAAAACTTGGCAGGACCCTCCTCAGAGTTAGTCTTGAGACTCAGAATCTGAATATTTATTCATACTGGAGGAATCCGATGAGCTATAAAGCTTTTTTTTCACAGATGCCCAGTAGGGGCGGGTCAGAACGTTACAACAACAATACAGAAACACGACGGGAGTGAAAACTACAAAAAGCTAAACAAATCATTAAAAAAATTGAACTAAACTACTTTTTTTATCTTATCAAGTAAGGCCCATTGAGCTGTTCACTTCTTTTTTTAGAGGCTTTCACGGATAAACAAGATTTGTAGGTTTCACCTCCATGTACTAGACTTGTAAATGTTGTGGGTTTACTCTCCAACACACCGGTGTGCTGTACTAGAAACGAATTGCCACCTTCTGTTTACGTGACAAACCTTACTAATTGGCTGTGTCGGGTGGTGGCGGGTTTAACGACACGTTTATATTCACGCGATCTAACCCAAACACCTCTATTATGTCTTCTTGGTTCTTTCGGTAAAGTCACGTAGAATGGAAATAATAAAAGAATAAAAGCAAACGTAATAAAATATTTTATTATTTCCATTCTACGTGACTTTGCCGAAAGAACCAAGAAGATGAATCCCTGCAGTCACGAAAGCTTTCAATCGAAACCTCTATTATGGATAATATTGGTCGCGAAAGCCAACGCGGTAAACCAAAATAAAATAATTCTCGAAAAAAATATCACAAATAGAGATACCTTCGGTGTTTTCTCTTAATTTGCTCACCAGCAGCTGATCAACCTACAAAACAAACCGACGGACACATCACGTGAAGGAATGAATCATAAGCAGTATTAGAATTTACAATTGAGTTTTGGGGTCAGATCACCGTGTTAAGAAGTATAATGTGTGTCGTACACCCTCCAATCACCCGACGCATCCAATTAATAAAGTTATCACGTGGCAATCAATGTATGACAGCTTCAGCAGTGCCACCGGGTGACGTCACTTTTGTTCGCACGAAGCCGCGTTACATTACGCGATGTAAACTATCCAAAAATCTGGAACATGAATCCCAAATTCTGCTTAATATCCAAATTCTATATATATTTTTAGCAAACTCCAAAACGTTTCCCTCTCAACAGCAAACAACAAACCCCACCGTTCACCACTAAGCAGCGGTGACGTAACCACGGTGCTTGTGCCATGCTAGGTGCACTTTGAGGCCACGCAAAGTGTCGAAGGCTCGCTCACAGGTCACGGGACAGACCCAGGTGTCATGGGTTGACTGACTGAGATGGCTGGCAAGATGCACCACCACCTGTGCTCCCCACTGCGTCAACTCCCTGCGTTTTTAGCCGCCCGGCGCTCCGCTCGTTGTTGTGAGCGGTGGGGGGGCGACTGCCTCTAAACCCCTTCACCTCACCTGTGACATGAATTCCAGTCCCGGGGGGCAGTTTGTTTGCGGGGGGCCTGCTGTCATCCACACCGTACTCTTGTGTTGTTGGGTTGGGGGGACAGTCAAGAAGCTGATCGGTGATGGTGTGGGTGGGGGAAGGGGTGGCTGGAGAGTTGCCTCCCCCCACGGCGAGGTCGAATCTACTCTCCGCACTGTCAGTCACAGGCACATCGACAAAAGGCAACGGACGCGAGTTCATGTTAAACTAAAACTATCTTATCTTACTCGGTAAGGTCCACTTGAGCTCTTTTGAAGAAGCGACATGGCTATCGCAAATGATAGCTCAACAAATTGGCGTATCGTGTGGAAATTTACAGCAGCCACATACTCTAGAAAGTTGATTTGGTTAACCAGGTGGGGAACTCAACAAAGACCGAGTTGGAGCCTCAATTGCAAGGGTGACCTGGGTGATCATTTATTTTGGGGCTGAGTCGACCTAGGGCAGGCCCAGGACCGGTTCATATATTAGTGACTGACTCACCCCAATACAACTGCTGTATATAAATATGGTCACTTACACCTACTGGATTATAATAATACAGAGTGTGAGTCCGTTTGGTAATCCGATAAATAACGATGTGTTGTCACACCCCTCGCCACACAGCATTGCTTACTTGTCGATAAAGGCAGGCGACGGACGTTCCGAAATCTACTTCTGAAATCGCGACCAGCCTAAGATGTGGTCGTTATAACATTGCTTCTCTATGGATTCTGTACAAAGTCATAATAAACGGCGACTTCCAAAAGAATTCGTTTACTCAACTACCCGCCTCGCGCCACGTGGTCGTTTGATCGCACGTGCCGTGGCTGCGTCACGTGACTCGCCACGTGCGTTTTCTGTCGTTCATTGACCAATCACACGACTCGACCCACAATAATGTGTGTCGTGTGTTGAGGATATTCTCATTGCATCGATTTAAAATCAATGCAGTCACCCGGCCTTGAAACGTTTTAGCTAGAAAGTTGTACACTGTACGGACACCGTGCTGGTGAGTCGGAATTAAGACGCTACCGGTCCACAGTTTGTCTATCATTAGTGCTGTCAGTCGGTCGCGTTTGCTCAAATTAATTGTTTTAGACAAGAGGTCCACAATGCAGTTATTCAGAAACTGCTGATTGTCTTTTGCATGTATATATATTTTGAGTTTGTATGTTCTATCTCACTGTGGTGGTTGCGTGGATTTTTTTTTCTACGGGTTCCTCCGGGTTTGCCCTCCACATTTACAAACATACGTTTTGAATATTCTTGGTTCTTTCGGTAAAGTCACGTAGAAGGGAAATAATAAAATAATACAAATACAACCATAAAATGCTCACGACGTTTCGATTGCAACACAAGCAATCATCATCAGGTGTGAAAACCACATCAAGAAAATGTAATTGTTCTATTATTATTTTATTATTTCCCTTCTACGTGACTTTACCGAAAGAACCAAGAATATGAATCCCTGCAGTCACGAAAGCTTTACATCGCAATTTATCCGTTTTGAATGTTTTGCCTCCGACTACAAATTCCCACGTGTGATGATGAGCGATGTGAGCCACTTCCATCAGCTGTTATTACGCGTGGCCAGATACCGTCTGAAAGATGACCACTAGCTCACTTGGCTTTAACCTGGTCAAATAAAATAAAACATAGAATAGAAAAAAACATACCTCGTCTCGGGCTCTCGTTCGCCGTGGTGGTTGTGTCACAGCCTCTGGTCGCACAGCAGGTGGCAGGCGAGATGCACGCGACGCTGTGACCGACTCGTCACCGTCGCCTTCCTTCCACACTCATTCCTGTCAGAGCCAAAGTGATCTGGGGCCGTTCATAAATTACGTCACTCGATTTTGGACGATTTTTGACCCCCCCCCCCCTCTCGTCACACGGCGTCACAAAAAGTCAGACCCCCCCTCAAATATGACGTCACAAAGCTCTGCCCCCCGCCCCCCCCCCAAAACCATACTTACATTTAGAAAATAAATCATGCTTCAAATCGCTTTAAACTATTGTCATTGTAGTGCGTATTTAATGTGGCGCTGCACTCTGATGTTGTAGGAGAAAACATTTATTAAAAATGAGGCGTTGGAAAGCTTAAAATTAGCATAAAATTCACTTGAAAATATTCAACGTCTAACTAAAACTGCAGATGTTCAGAATATTGCATTGAAATTATCTTATAATTATAAAATATTAAAAGTAATTATAACTATTAGAAAAATACCTGAAACTTTGTAGTAGAACGAAGCAAAATGGAGAGTACAATTATAACAATCGTCTATTCATTCTCCAGAATTAAAAGCCCTGGTAGAATCATTGGAATCAAAATGTTTAATAACAATCATTAAACATTTTTTTAAAATGTATACTTCTATATTCTCCGATGGAGAAGAAAAATTCTCCTTCATGGAATAAATAAAAGGTGACCTTAGTGAATTTAAATAATCAAATAGTTAACAACAGAGGTGGGACAAAGTCATTGTTATGCAAGTCCAAGTCGAGTCTCAAGTCATCAAATTCATGACTCGAGTCTGACTCGAGTCCAAGTCACATGACTCGAGTCCACACCTCAGAGGTGGGACAAAGTCATTGTTATGCAAGTCCAAGTCGAGTCTCAAGTCATCAAATTCATGACTCGAGTCTGACTCGAGTCCAAGTCACATGACTCGAGTCCACACCTCTGGTTAACAATGAAAATTAATAAAAATTTGTGTTGTTATAACAATTCTATATTTATTTAAAGTTGCGCATTTTGATGTGACGTCACATTTCTCCCCCCCCCCACTCGTCACACATCGTCACAAATGTCTGACCCCCCCCCCTAGGTGCGTGACGTCATTAATGGACGGCCTCTTTCTGAGCACCGGGGCGATGGTTCCCATCTCCCGCTTGGCTGAGCTGTGACAGGAGAGAGAGAGGCCACCAGGAACCATTCAGATCTCACTCGCCGCTACTGATGTTAGCCGTGACCGGGTATCGAACTTATAGTGCAGTACAAGAACAACTGCCCCCCCCCACCACCGCCATCATCATCAGTGGTTTCGATTAAATCATCTCCGGTATGAATGTGATTTTGTGGTTCATGTAGCGGCACAGTCGGGGGTACAACTGGTGCATCTAACCATTCATCTCAGTCAGCCAAACCCACGGCACCTGGGTATGCCCCGTGACCTCCTTGTCAGCGAGCCTTCGACACTTCACGTGGCCTCAAAGTGCACCTGGCCTGGCACAGGGGCCGTGGTGACGTGGCGTGTATTCGTATTGGATGTAGCGGCCTCTAGTGGCTGCAAGGGGGCACGTGAACCAATTACACCACGCACACGAATCGGGGCTCCAGTTGTAGGCCGGCAGAGGGCAGTAGCGCGACAAATCCGGTGGGTGTGCTCCACTGTTCAGTGCCTCTCGTCTCCGTGAGCGGCTGTGCTCTTCCCTCTCCACCCCTTCACTAACCCGCGTTGACCAGCTGGGCAAAGTATGGTCAAGTCATCTCGGCAATCGAAAGGCACGTAGAGGCCTTCATCCATCAGTGTATTTCTCTTTTTTTAGGTAAACCCGCGGAACTCAGTGCAAAACACCGGTGGCGAGCAGTGGCGGATTAAGGAGTGCGGGGCCTGTAGTATATGTTGTAAAGGGGCCCTAATAAAAAAAAAATCACAAATATTAAAAGACAATGTTTTTTACTTGCACAGTAAAGTTATTGTATTTTTTCATTTCCTATAAAGCCAGTTGATACGACAAATCGCTAACCTTAAACACCCAGTCGTTCGTAAAGGCTGAAGGCGGTATAGTACTATAGTAATAGAGCAAGTGCAGAATCACTGAACCGGGATTGATAGCTTGAAAGCGTTTAGCGCGGGGCCCTTGAAAGTGCGGGGCCCGTAGCTACTACATGTGTAGCTACTACACGTGTAGTACATGTGTAGTAGCTACTACATGTGTAGCTACTACATGTGTAGCTACTACAAATGTAGCTACTTGTGCTACTACGATAATCCGGCACTGGTGGCGAGTGACATCTGAACCGATCGTGGGAAGGAAGTGATGGGCGCTTGTGTCAAAATCGCTCAATGTTCTTCCCGTTTTCGGGAACCGCACGTCCATCTGTTTTGCGACGACCATGTGACCACGTGTTTGTGTGTTGTTCTATTCTAAGCATGGGCTGCTGGGAAATTGATATAATCGCCTTAATCAGCCATGATCTATCTCGTGCTGGATGACACCCCCCACCCATCTCACACGTCCAAGCTGTCGCGATCTCTCACGGTTCTGCGATGTTAACGATCCAGCACCACGCTTTGATTGGTGGAGACACTGAATAAAGTGCCACGGACATTCAAATCCTTCCCTTATCTAACGACTCAAACAATCGTGATCGTTGTCGTGGAGAATATAAACAACACGTGGGATAAACAGGCTAATATGTATCCTTCATCTAAGTTGTCTCTCTACATAAAAGGTACAAATAATGTGTTACACTACCCATCGGCTTCGCAGCCTTCTGGGAGTGCGTAATTTCAGCAAACCTCTGTGCCGGTTTCGACTTTCAGTGTCTCATCAGCAGTGAGCCTTGCTTGAATCAATGATGGTGAAGTGCTGATCTGACAAGCAAGGCCCTCTCTCTCTCTCTTGACGGCGCTCCTCATTATTTTGAGTTAAGCATCTAAGTTGGTTTATCAAAGAATTAGCAACAAGTTCCACTGGCTTGGAATTTAAACTCTTTAAGAGATAAAATGCTCCACTAATCGACACCGCAGTGGCTAGGAGATGTTAACTCTCTCGCCCTGTGTACAGGAGGCCGTGGGTTCGATCCCGACCCGGACGCCTGCTGCATATTTAGAGTTTGCATGTCTCTCTCTCTCTCCGTGATCGCGTGGATTTTTCTCTGGGTTCTCCGGGTTTTCCCTCCACATTTACACTCAACATCAATCGTTTAGAGTATTTGGCCGCTATAAACTTCCACCCTATAAGCCACTTTCGTTGAGCTATCATCATTTATGGCCGGGTCTTACCGGGTAAAACAAAAAAAAACATGTTTCGTTTAGAGCCGTGGCATTCTCCTCTACATTTAACAAATGACACCGCAAATGAATCAATGACATGAGCATCTATCGCCCCCCCCCCTGCCCGACACCCCCTCATTGCGGACACTTGCCAGGACCCTCCTGTAAAAGAGTCATGTGACTCAGTGAGGTTTTCCTGGATTAACAAGTATAGGGTAGTAGTAATAATAATAATAAATTAATCTTTATGAAACAGCATGCCAATTGCATATCTCCATATATATAAAAGGCAAAATTGTGATTATGTGTGTCTGTTCAAAATGTTTAGTGTACTTCCCGACATGCAACAAACTGGAAATTTGGGGTACTTTCCAGACAGTACACCATGCAAAAATATAAAAAATACACTTTTGTGGTTTTTTTTTTGGGGGGGGGGGAGCTCAATAATCCATATTTTTTTAGCACGGCAAGGGAGCTGTGACGTCACATCTGTCACGTGACCCACGCATGTGGAAGCGTAACGCATTGTAGTGTAGCAGGTAGCGCGCGCTACGAACCCGGCGACCCGAGTTCGATTCCCGTTCACGGCCACCACCGGTGACGATTATTTTAACCGGGTCCTGGGCCTCCCCTAGGACGACTCAGCCTCAAACCAGTAAGTAGTGTGGTTGTGTGAACATCGCGACTGGGGAGACAAAGGCGGCCGGGCGTCGTGAATCCAAGTCCCGGGCGAAGCCGGGTAGTAAAGCTCGTACTTGACATAAATAAAACGCATATAATATTACACACGTGATTCAATGAA